CCACCGGCGGTCGCTCCGCTTGTTCCTGCTGCCCGATCTCCTCAGCACCGCGATCCCCCCCAGCAGCGAGGGCTCTCTGACAGCGTGTCCCTCCTTCCTCCCGGGTTTCGGCACCAATGTAACAACGTTCGTAGTTCGGGAAGAATGAGACGGGAACCGGCGAACATTTGAAGAAAACTTTAATAAAATAAACAAACACAAAATGAAAGTAAAGCGGCAGCCCCTCGCGGACGAATGCCGCACACAAAATAAAATCCAGGCCTGGTCCTCTCTCGTCTTTCACTGTCGTCACTCCTCCTTTTATCCTTCCGGAGCTCCTCCGTGGGACTCGAGACCGGTGAGTGGTGCAGGTGTCGCTCATTATCAATTACTCCACCGGCCTCGCTCCGTTCCCACGGCTCTCGGCCCTGCCCCCACTCGTCACAGTGAGCTTAGCCTTTTTATTCTTTCTGCTGATGAGAGACTCACAGCAGAGTGCGTTTTCATTCCGACTTCTCTTAAACATGCTGAGACAGATCCTTACCTTGTTCATTGCTGAACTGGCAAGCAATTCCAGCTGCAGTGTTGAACCGATTCCCTATTGAGATCCCCTGAATTATCCTGTCTTCTCGTGCATTCGTGCATGTGGACGACCAGCCGTTTTGGGGGACTTGAATGAATTAGTAAAGCTGCAATATTCGAGAAATCACAGATTTGGAAGAACAACTTCTCGTGCAGTGGCTGAAAGGATCATCCCTTTGGCCTTCATGTGGACTGCCTCCTATCGCAGGGTTTCAGTCACCTTAGAGTGGCCCGCAATCTTGCAATTTCAGTGAAAATTAGATATCTGTTTCCCTCCTTATGGAGTATACGTTGCAGGACTGTGGGGGGATTCATGGGAATTGTATAGAAAAAATTTGACAATGTACTGACATTGATGAACGGAATGCAATGTTATTGATCTGATGAATGTAATATGAAATTACATTTGGTTTGATATATTGAACATATGGCAAGACTGTATCTAGTTATGTGTTTTGGCTCCATTGAATATTTTGTGTTTGGTAATTGTTCTGCCTTTGGCATAACAGTTAGGGGTCTGGATGTAGGAGCCATATTTAAATTCTTGATTAAGTCTGATTTATTTATTTTGTATTTCAAACATTATGATTTAAATATATGAGCAAACTTTGTTGAATTCTTGGACTAACCTGTCATGTGAATTTAGTTGCTCTTCCTCCCTTACCTCCCACTATAGTGGGACATATATGGCGCGAAAGTGCAGGTCATAATAGTGAAGCAGCATTGTTTGGCAGGACAGAGTTAGAGGGTGGAGAGCAATCGTTTCTTCAATCACATGCGAAAGTACCGCATTTCATGTTCTTGGAAGTTTTATTTTGTAATCTTGTTTGGAAAGTAAACCGGAGATTGTGATCAATAAACCACGGGATGTTGTTGTTACAACCGCATCTCTGTGCGTGCTTTATGGACATGGGTATCGGGAGAGACTCCTCCGCTAACTTCAAGGGGCTAAAGAAAGTTTTTGAATGCTGCCAGTTAAATAGGGTTTGCCATATAATTAAGGAAATTAGCACGAGGTGCCAGATTAACATCAATAACTTAAGTGAGTGAAGTGACATGTGGCCAAGTATGGTGACCCATACTCGGAATTAATTTATAATTTGCTTAAAAAACTGCCCTTCTACTCCTGTTATGATTACTTCAAATAGGACTAAGCAGTGACCTTGAAATTTAGGAAATTATAGGTTGTTCTCTAATTTTATTCTCCGCTGTATATATAGAAATATTTAAGTAAGAGCGTAGGAATACTGACTCAAATGCTTCATAGGAGTGGGGGTGTTTCTCGGTTTGGTGATTTCTATGCAGAAGAGTCATGGGTAAAGTAATCATAGGTGTTTTTTCATCAGGAATTCCACAGTTAAATGTGAATATTTAAAAAACTATGTTGAAACACTGTGGACTGATGGATTCAACAAAGGCATGTGGCATTGATTTAATACTTCATAGATCAGGTTTGTCTTTACATTTTTTCAAGTTATCTTTAATAAAAATGTCTCACCTTTTGAGAAAATGAATGTGATTTTTACTTTGGAAACACGACTGTTGCACTGTATATTTGCTGTTGTCCATTGCAATGCAATATATCACACCTAAATCCAACAGGTTACATCTTGCGTCTTACTGCAGTGTTCATGATGTTGCAAGGCTTAATGTTTGGTACGTTGTAATAGACTATTTTTTTACTTAGTTGAGCTTTAAATAATATACAGGTCAGATTATAAAAAACTAAACTCAGGTTATTATTTCATGTATTTATTTATGTCGCAACTTGTTGTGTAACAGGCATGGATAATGTAATGTCAAGCAAAATGAATCCTGTCAGGTTGACTCTTCTATCTTCTATTCATCTTCTAGTCTTTCTGTCTGATGAATTCTGAAATAGACTGAAGCAATTTCACTAAGCAGCAGTTACGCTACTACACAGTGAGGTATGGCAGACTCCATCTGTTTTGTTTCTGGCCATAAGTTTCAGTGGAAAAGACCCAGATCTCCTTCAAATCTCATTGGATTTTATCCCAGACCCAACTGTGTTTGAGATGTGACTCGATGGTGACATATTTCAAAACAACTGCACTTGTTTGACAATTTCTGTAATCTCTGGAAATCTTTTCCAGTTTACGGTTGATTACACTTCACATTTTCCCCATTAGCATGACAAATGTTGTTTTCAAAGCTGATGCTACTGAGAAATCGCCAGCCCTCATTTTGTGGTTCATGCTTCAAGTGTTTCAAGTTGGTGTTGGTGATGGGCATGCCTTCCAGACACTGAGTTAGGTGTTTGTACAATTCAAAATAAAAGTTATAGTTTGAATGGCTTCTTTTGAGTTGAATTTCTTAAATGTTTAAATCAAAACATCTTGTTACCTTAAAGTACTAATAACATCACAAAAAAAACTTGGAACACAAGAAGTAACAATCAACAAACTGATTATTTGAAAACTCATCCTGACATCACAAGCCAGCAATGAGACAACAAAATCAACAATAGTGTTATTTATATATTTAAAAAATTTTTCTCACAATCCTTTTTTTCCTCACAATTCTAAACTTATATCTCACAATTTCGACAATTGTTAGATATAACCCAGAATTGTGATACATATAAATGCAGAACTGCATTTAAACTTACAATTCTGAAAAGTCAGAAATGTGAGATAAACACTCATAATTTTGAGATAAAAAGTTGCAATTGCCTTTTTGTTTTTTTTATTTTGTGATGCAAGTTGCATATCTATCCATCTATCTATCTATCTATTTATCTATCTGTCTCTGTCTGTCTTGTCTGTCTGTCCGTCCGTCCGTCCGTCTATATAGTTATATTTTAATTTGCATTAAAGCGGTCATAAAAGGCGGGGCATAGAGGAGAAACAATAATGTACAGTATGTGGAAAATAATGTGTTTTTTTAACCTTAAACCGCATAAACACACTTCATTACACCAAATACACAAAATAATGTTCTTTTTAGCAACATCATAAGACCCCTTTAACTTAGATGATTTGCTATTCTATAATGTTATTTTTTTTTATTGAACGAACACTCATAATTGTATGATAAAAAGTTGCAATTGCCTTTTTATTTCATTTTGTGGTGGACACAAAAAAAAGTGAGATATACACTCAAGAAAGAAAGTCAGAGTTTATATCTTGCAATCCTCACTTTTTGACAGATTTGCAAGAAAAACGTCTGAATTGTCAATTTGCATTAACTTTTAGATGATTTGCTACTTTATAATATTCTTTTTTAATGAATAAACACTCATAATTGTGAGATAAAAAGTTGCAATTGCCTTTTTATTTTTTATTTTGGGGTGGACAGAAAAAAATGTGAGATATAAATTCAAAAATGTGAACCAAAAAAGTACCAATTTTTTTAAAGATTTGCGAGAAAGAAGTCTGAATTGTGAGATATAAACAGAATTGCTAGGGGAAAAAAACTGTGAAATAAAAAAATTGCAATTACCTTTTTTGTTACTTAGTGGAAACAGGTTTTCATAGCATACAGATGCATTAACTTGAAATAATATGTAAATTAAACAAATCAGTATTATTTTACAAGGTATCATGGAGACTTGCAAACAATTGCCTCAGCTTTAAGTATGATTCAGGCCTGCCATCCACCAGAAATGTACAATAAAATGTAGTGTGCAGATTCTACACTGTATTTTTTGGGTGACACATGAGGGTCAGGAAATGATATGCTAGCGGCTCAAAGGATTATATAAATGTCAACACTGGATTTAAATGTCTTCATGGACTTATGATATAGTCAAAGCAGCCACACCCAAATCAAAAATCTGATTCCTGGGGTCTTTAGCCCCTGCCAAACCTCAAACCCTTTTTCACACTCCACTCTCAAACAGGATGTGGTTAGTCAAAGTAGTTTGTCTTGGTCTAGTGCTACAAAATGAGTAATTCCATTAAAGGCACTATGAACAAATCTTCATCAGTTTCCTATGTAAAATGAAAGATTTCATTGATACAGTATGTCTACCATCCCATTCTGATATATCCCCGCAATGGGAGTCAGGAAGATGGGAAGTGCTTGAACGGAAACATGACTCAAACTTGCCATTACAAAAGAGTGAAAAAAAGAAGGGGATTGAGAGCATATTTCAATTTTGAGATTTCAGTTTTGAACTAATAAATGGTAGCATGTGTGCCATTTCACAAGAGACTCTCCCATGCAAGCCTTAATGTCATGATATTTTGTCTGTCTGTCTATCTATCTATCTAGCTACACTATATGGACAAAAGTATTGGCACACCCCCTTCTAATGAACAGGTTTGACTACTTTAGTAATTTCCATGAGTACAAATCTTAATGATTAATCATGATATTCTAGGGAATTGTGTCCTATCTATCTATCTATCTATCTATCTATCTATCTATCTATCTATCTATCTATATTTATATATTAATTTGCATTAACTTTTGATTTACTATGTGTTTGATTTTTATTGTTTTTAAACCATTTTTATTAATTGTATTGGAATTTTTTGCATACTTTTACTATTGGACATGTGCCTCTATCTCTGTACTATATTTAAATTTTTTTAAATTTATATATACATATATATAATTTTGTTTTAATTTATTTGTATTATTTTGGTTATTTATTATTGTATTTTATGTATTTTGTTGCATTAAACTGACATATCCAGGTCTAAAAAGAATAAAGAATATAATAATAATAATAATAATAATAATAATAATAACAATAATAATAATAATACATACATATTATAAATAATATTAATATTTAAACAAACAAAAAAAAAATATATATAATTGTTCTACCATCATTGGATTACTGCAGAAATTCCCATGAACAGATATACTGTCAAAGTCTCCAGGCCACCCAAGAACATTATGTAGTTTCACTCTTTTTCCCATCTCTCCCTCTCCTGAAGGTTTTGGACCACCACCAGTGGTCAGCTGACTGGCCTCCACTCCTTTTATTTACGACTGAACTAAGAAAAATTAATCCCGACATAAAGCACAAATAAATCTATGGTCGGTACAAGTATGCTTTGAAGCAGTATGCAGGACAGCTTCTTCTCCTTCTGTTTCCATTGTGTGTGTAAATGCAGTTAAACTGTTTTCAAAGCCAGGCCGAGGAGCTCTCATAGCTGTGGAACTTCTGTTCATTAGGAAGTCATCCAGCGTCTGCGTTTGAATGGCATCTTTTTGGAGAGCCAGCTGTTCCTTCTGAAGAAAGTCTTGCTTGAATGTCTTTGCTGTTATCCATCCCCATGCAAAACAAATTATTCAGCTGCACATAGTCAAAAGAGGATATCAGCCTGTTTTTTTAATGCGTTCTCTATTTTAATTTTCAATGCTTGATTTGTATCCATTTGACCTCTCAGAGATCTAAAGGCCTCAGAGAACAGGTTTCATCTGACCTTTTGATAAATGAAAAACATTGCTTGGTTCTTTATTCCCAGAATGTCAGAACAAAGAGAGGCATGAGTGAAGCATTATGTGGCAGGATCTGCTCTGATGGTATTTCCTTGAGTCAAACCCCGAAAACAACCAGCAGAACAGGTAGGGACACAGGCTTTGGCTACACATGTGCTGTCAATTTAGGGCTCTGAACTAAAGTCAACAAAATCACTGAGGGAGGAGAGGCCGGGGTAACATTTTTCACATTTACCCTCATAACTCTCAGACTGCAACAAATCTACCTGCCATCTTTTGGTATAAGCAACATACATGTGTGCCAACAATAACAATAGCATTAAAATATTTACATTGAGAAGGATTCATAATATTAAAAACGTATATAAAGACAAAAATGTGGTCAAGAACAGTCTTCAGCCGTTATTCCATAACTAATATTGCTCATAACTTCATCAAAGACAACAATTTTTAAACAAATTTTTAGGAACATAATCAATTGTACACATTTATTTCATCTATCTTTCATAGATCATCTATACACTATATTGATATATACATTTTAATAATTTATGTTTTTTATATTTTTATTATATTATTTTACTATTAGATAAACAAAATATCGTTAAAGTATATGTATATATAGTATTTTTTCCCACCAATTAATCTATTAGTTTTTTATTTCATAGTTTTTAACTCACAGTCATAATAAAATCAGCCAATATTTAGACAACAGAATTTTTAAACAACAGAAAATAAATAATCAGCTTTATAAATCACAGTGTCTGTCTATCTATCTATCTATCTATCTATCTATCTATGCACTATTTTTATATATTAATTTCATTAATTTATGTTTTTTATATATAATTTTTATTTTATTATTAGATAAACAAAAGGTTATTAAAATATTCTATAGTATTTTGTTATTTTTAATTAATTAATATTATTAGTTTTTATTGATTTGGAAAAAAAATTAAATTGTTTAAATCATATTTATAATTTAGTTAATTTATTATCCATAACCTTACAGTCATAATAAAATCAGCCAATATTTAGACAACAGAATTTTCAAACAGTAAATCAATAATCAGTTTCATTAATCACAGTGTCTGTCTATCTATCTATCTATCTATCTATCTATCTGTCTGTCTGTCTGTCTGTCTGTCTGGTAGAAAGAGAAGTTTACATCAGTCTAGTCTATAGTCTTTTTAAGCATGTCTCTGGTCTCCACTATTTGTGAACAATAATTTTGCAACTCTTTATGCAAATAGATTGTATTTGTTCAGGTAGGACACAAACCAGATAGCGTTGATATTGGAGCTTTTAAAATGGCTGCCATTCACTTAATTAGCTTCAAGCTAACAATCCAATGAGAGGGGCAGCATCATTAATGTTTTGTGTAGCAGAGGTGGGGCATGCAATCCACCTGCCTTAAGGCAGATAGAACAGATAATCAATGAATCCTGAGGATTTCCACTCTAATTGGGCCATTATTTTGAAAAGTGGAGGAAGTTTATCAAGCTTTTAACGGAAGGTCTTTTGGCTGAAGTAGCATGGTGGAGAACTAGCCCTCCAGCTAACTGATTTACTGCAAGTATTGACCAAACACAGCTGCCTAGACGATTGTTTGAGGTCCTGCTCTAAATGTCTTAAGGTGAGTCATATTTCAGTAACAATGGGAATTTCTTTATATTGGAGTGCAAGAGCTGTTTTTGAGCTAAATAAGTTAGCCTCTCATAAAGGTATTTTGTTTTATTTTCCAAAGTGACTTATATTTTGAGCAATAGTAGCTTATATTAACTGCTAATTCACTGCTGATATGAAAAATGGAAAGATGGATCTTAATTTAATTTTGTTCAATGCAAGTCATTACAATTGCTGATGTTGTTTAAGTTAATTACGTTTTTTCAACTACTTTATTGATTTCTGCAGCATGGAACTTTGACTGTGTGTGTGCGCGTCAGTATGTCACTTCCAGTCATTCTCCACAGCCATTCCCAGTGTGGTAGGACTGTTTACCAGAATATATTAGTCATTAGATGTCATCTTACTGCCAAGCTATTGGGAGAGACTGTTGTTCCTGCTAGCTTTGCCTATTGAATTCAGTGTTTTTTTTTGTTTTTGTTTTTGTGGGTTGACCAAGGGAGGTTTACTTGTTAAACTAAGACAAAAACATCCAAATCTAACAGTTTTTCATACAATCTGCTCTTGCTCCACTGAGGTTAAGGGGTGAAGTTAAGGGTGAAACGTCATGGCTTTTTCCAATAAACTGGATGTTTTCATACAAATTCATACGAAAATCACCAATTCGTAAAACTTCAGATTATCCATAACACTTGGTCTCTTCAACATGCAATATATAGCTATTATAAAAATATTTAAATGCCTAATGCACAGTCAAACTTATGATCTACTTTTTTTTTTCTTCTTTTACCAAATTTTTATTGGAAATATTTTGCCTTGTCCTTTACTATTAGATAAGTAGCTCTATAACACAATGCATATCTATCTGTATGTATACATTTATGATTATTCATTATTTAAGAGTGTCATTTTATTATTAGACAAAGAAAAGCCCGATTATTATATTGCTTTTCATCTGAACTTCTGATCCTTTTTTTGAATCAAGGTTTTTTTTTTGTTTTTGTTTTTTTTTTACATACTTTTACTATGGGACATGTAGCTCTCAACAAAGTTACTTGAGATCAGGTCGTTGGCCTTTTCAGTAAGAAATATGTAGCTTTCAGCAGAGCCACTGAATCATTTCATCCTTGAAAGTGTTTATCCATGAATGTGCTCATCCAAATGATGTGTTTTGGAGTTGATAATCATCACATGAGGTTTTTGAATGAGCTATGTACTTATTTGAACTATGCACGATTGGTCACAATAAGTATGAATAATTTCAGGCTAAGCAAAGGTCAAAATAAGTACAATGACATCTCAGCCTATTCTCACTGAGTTGTTAGGCCAGAAGAAATATTTCAGGTGTGAGAGTTTGTGGTCAGTAGATCAACATGAACTGTTCGGTTCGAGAGACACGGTTCCAGCGCTGGCAGACGGTTGTGTAGCAGGAGCATGTGACTTTACTTAGGGTGTTGCGTGTGTATTGGCAGGCAGCTGCGTGAGTTTTTTCAAACCGTGTCTGCTTAAATGAAGAACCAACAGCACTTCATCCAGCAGGCAGGGGAACAATTGTGCTTTTCGTTCAAGTAGAAAGATTAAGGATTATTTGCGCAGCCCTCCATGTCATTGAGCTGTTTTGTTATTTCTTCTTACCTCATTTGTATGGCTTTTAAATGATACGTTATGCCAAAACGCAGCACACTTGGTCAATGTGGTGATGTTTCTATTGACTGTAAAATATCGAGGACTGATGAGGGAATCATCATTTCTCAGGCGCACACACATTAAAAGCCCTCTAGGCAGTAGCGTTTCATGCTTAAGCTAAAACACATACTGTAGGTTGTATTCCCTTTACCACAATTTGGCGTTATATTGCAAGCCTTGACAGAACTGGATGAAAATCTGCCTTTGAGTTCTATTTCATGGTCATTTTATAAAGATATCCTTGAACATAAAGTGCACATCTGGATTTTTATTAAACCGTTCTTTGTGAAATGGGTTCAGATGTTTTGGACTGCTTCTAGGGATCGAGGCCTCTACGTCTTACTCAACTTGTTCAACCTTGTGTTGCAGCTCACCGTGGCGTCTGTTCGTTCGCTCGCTCGGAGTCAATCTGTCCACAGACGAATAGGCGGTTTTAAAGGGCAATGATGCTTCTAAAGTTGGAATTGTGTTTTCTTTGGCTGTGTACTTTCTGAAGACAAACTCTGGCCAGTACACGTTTTTGAATTGGCTTCGTCCAGATGTTATTGCAGTGAGTTTGCATCTTTCTGTCATGCTAACTGGAATAAACAAAGACTCCTTGTTATTAGTCATACTTGCTTGTGGGGGCTTTTAGATTATCCCTGATTAGGACATATTTGAGAAGTGATTGTTAAAGGGAAAGTTCAACCAAAAATTAAAACCGTCATAAGCAACCTCCTCTTGATCTAAACCAATATGACTGGCATATGTAAAACACAAAAGGAGACGTTTAGCAATATGTCCAAGGTGCTCTCTTCCATTTATATTTTTAGTTAGTGTTTTTAATATTACAAATTTTTGTGTTTTAGTATGAGGCTATACAAAGCTACAATATATATGATTGTTTAATTTAAATATATCTTAAATATAAAAAAGGTATTTTTTTTGTATTGTGTATTTTTTTAAATATTATGTGCTCATATATTGTAGTTCAGAGTTATATTTCTATTTACATATTATAGCTTAAAATGCTATTTACTAAATTACTATATATATATATATGAATGAAGAGTCTGGTTCCAAAACACTATAAATCCATTTTGATTAATTTGAGTAAAAATGTGTTTTCTTAACCAAGAAAGTGGCAAGATGAAAACATACTCGATTACTAACGTAACCTCGGTTCCCTGAGCGAAGCTGCACGAGCCTATGGCGACAAAGCCCGCCAGAGCCTGCCAGAATGGGCGGGGCCATCTGGCTATATATGCGGGTGTTTGCCACAGGATTCTCAGGTTACTTCGACTGAAGCGACGACTAAGTCGTGCGGCTACATAGAACAGCTAGCAAAGCAGTACTCGTTCCCGTATCTCAGGGAACCGCGGTTACGTTAGTAACAGAGTACATTCCCTGTCGATACTTCACTCGTACTGCGTCTTGCTAAAGACGTTATGGGAACACGGTACAATCACGCCGTGGTATGGTAGAGGAATGACTGTATATTGTAATCTCCATAAGCAAGTAATGCCCATAGGGAAGTTAACAATAACCCAAGGCTATAACTGGGTAATCGTTCCAGAGTACTCATACAACTTCAGAACCCCAGGGGCCGAGAGACGACAAGTGAACTAAACCAAAGAGCTTGAGCATGTTACGGTCAAGGACTCTCTGTCAGACTTACAGGTGCATCTCAATAAATTAGAATGTCTTCACTAAAAATGTTTTTTTTTTATTGGTCTTATGAAGTATTCTAATTTGTTGTGAATTGGTGGGTTTTTGTTAAATGTGAGCCAAAATCATCACAATTAAAAGAACCAAAGACTTAAACTACTTCAGTCTGTGTGCATTGAATTTATTTAATACACGAGTTTCACAATTTGAGTTGAATTACTGAAATAAATGAACTTTTCCACGACATTCTAATTTATTGAGATGCACCTGTATTTGCATAACGCAGTGAGTGTCTCTTCAAGCAGAAAGGACCCTGGCCTGTAAGGCCGGGACATCCAGGTTATAAAACCTAGCAAATGTGGACGGCGAGGCCCAGCCGGCCGCCTCACAAATCTCCGCAATGGACACACCGCTAGACCACGCCCAAGACGAGGCGATGCCTCTGGTGGAATGGGCCCGTACTCTGATTGGACATTGTAGGCCCGAGGAAGAGTATGCTAGCGTGATGGCATCTACTATCCACCTAGGAAGTCTTTGTTTTGTGACCGGATGCCCTTTGGTGCGGTTACCGAAGCTAACAAAATGTTGTTCCGACTGTCTGAAGGGGGCGGAATGCTCAATGTAAATTCTTAAGCTCTGACGGGGCAGAGCAAGGATAACTCTCGGTCCTCTTCAGAGGGAGGAAGCACAGAGAGCGCAATGACCTGTGCTCTGAATGGAGTGGAGAGCACCTTGGGTATGTAACCATGCCTTGGTTTAAGGACGACCTTAGAGTCGTTAGGCCCGAATTCCAAGCAGGCAGGCCTAATGGAAAGTGCCTGCCGGTCTCCTATTCGCTTTACCGATGCTAGTGCTAGAAGCAAAGCAGTCTTCAGCGACAGTGACTGAAGGTTGGTAGACTGTAGCGGCTCAAAAGGAGGGCCCTTCAGGGCCCTCAGCACAATGAGCAGATCCCATGAAGGGACAGTGAGGGGGCTAGGCGGATTCAGCCTCCTGGCACCCCTCAAGAAGCGGACAAACACGCTGTTCCTGCCCACCGATTGGCCCGCAATAGGGGCATGAGAGGCCGCTATAGCTGCTACGTAAACTTTGAGGGTGGATGGGGAGCGTCCCTTATCCAGCAGCTCTTGCAGGAATGACAAAACCACTGATAGGTCAGAGGTAGATGGGTCTTCACCGCAGTTTAAGCACCAAGCGGAGAAAATAGACCACTTAAGGGTGTAGAGGCATCTCGTAGACGGGGCTCTAGCCTCCAAAATAGTGTTTAAAACTCGCTCTGGAAGGCTTGTAGGCTCCCGTTGAGTGGTCAAAGGTGCAGGGCCCACAGCTCGGGCCGAGGGTGCCGTATTGTCCCGTCCGCTTGAGAGAGGAGATCCCGTCTCAACGGAATGGGCCAAGGGGCTGCTACCAGCAGCTGGGTCAGCTCTGATAACCAAAGTTGGTTCTTCCGGAGAGGGGCCACCAAGAAAACCTTGTGTCTCTGTTCCCTGATTACCTGTGGGATCAGGGCGATTGGGGGAAATGCAGAAAGGAGGAGGTTGGGCCAATCGTGGGCCAACACGTCCCTGATCTTCGAATAATAAATTGGGCAGTGAGAGTTGTCTTCTGAGGCGAAGAGGTCTGCCTCGCCGAAGATCTCCCAGATTCTCTGAACCATCTGCAGATGTAGCATCCACT